CCCCCACCCCCATTCCTGACCTGGTCAGCTATACCTGCGTCTTTGTTGGGGTCACGGCCAACCCCCTATATTCCACCTAATGCCAGCCTGGGAAGTTAAAAAGAATGGGAACAAAGAAGATTGTAGACAAGAGACAGTAGAGGAGGACTGCACACATCCTGAACCTTCCCTCCCCACCTCTCTTCACATGCATCCTTTGCCCATGAAACGGGAAAGGAAGACAAAGGTTACAGTGACCACTTGGGAGCAGTTGTATTGCCTCAGAACCATTCTTGGACTCTTTTCCTGTCTGGCTTCCTGCCTCTGCTGGCAGGTGACCTTGCTAAACAAAGCCAGAGAGACATGGGACCCAGCAGCTTCCCCAGATTCCGGAGCCGTTCCAGGAATGAGCTAGACTTTCCATTGACCTCTCCCCCACTTTCCACAGGCTCTCAGGCCGGCCGAGGTTGAAGCCTCCGGCCCAGTAAACAGGGCTGCCATGCCCTGGAAGACCAAGAGAAAGGTTACAGGTTGAGGTCCTTCTTACAGACATTTAGGGAGGACCCCTGTGTGCTTGCTCAGCCTGGACTAGGGGCCTGCTTATGTTGAACAGGTTGCTCCCATGCCCATGGCCTGGGCTGCAATGGCCTCAGGCAGGGCAGGTTCTCTGGCAAGAATCCTATCTTTTCCTATCATATGTTACTAGGCTTCCGGTCCCCTCCCACCTTGGGCAGGAAGCTTGAGAGTGGTGTCTATGCATTTAACTGCAGGGTCTCCAGTGGTTTGAGGGAGACCTGAATGGGAGACCTGGATGCAGCATGATGTTTAGAAGACCAGGAGTGGAGACCAAAGAAAACGGGACGGTCAAATGTCAGATGGGTAGGACACCCTTGGTTTGGTGAGGAAAAGACAATTATTTCCCTCAATTCATTTTTACTGCTGTTTGAACTTCGAAAGGAAGGCAGGGTGGCTTGAAGCACAGCCGGGTAAGAACTAAGCCAGCGGGAAGGGCTGTCATCCCAACTGGGCAAAGCACAGGGTTATGGTCCTGGCTTTACCACTCCATAGCTTTGTGTCCTTGGGAAAGTTATGGCAAGTCTCCAAGCCTCAAATTCCTCATATATGAAACAGAATTTGGATTGGAACGTCCAACTAGGAATCCTTCAAGCTGATGTTGCCCCACCTGCAAGAGTCCAAATGGTTCTGAGAACAAAGGTCAGGATGTGCCCAGCTTTTGCTGAACTCATTCCATCCGCTGGATTTCCCCCATTTTATTTTCAGCTTGGGCAAGCTAAAGATAACTCAGGCATCTAGCCAGACCTTTCCAAGAACCTGTTTCAGCTTGAGCAGTAGGAGGATCAATAATTCCATCAACTACGCCCAGCCAGGCGTGGCTCAGCGGTTGAGCGTCGACCTAGGATCCAGGCGATCAGGATTCGATTCCTGCTCAGGGCACATGCCTGGGTTGTGGGCTTGATCAATGACTCTCTCATCATTGATGTTTCTATCTCTCCCTCTCCTTTCCTCTCTCTGAAATCAATAAAGATATATTTTTAAAAAATAATAATTCCATCAACTAGCAAGGAAGGGGACAAGCCCTATAGCAGAGTTCAAGGTCACAAGCTAGGACTCAAATCGAGCAGGGCACCAAGGAACTTCTGATTGAGAAAGAAGCCGGTGGGGCAGGTCCTCTCTATCTCTGCTCATATATCATGTCTGGCCAGAGGACAGAGAGAAGAAATGGGATGGAGAGGAACACTGTAGGTCAGTTACCTAATCTGGCCAGAACAGTGGTAACCCCTTCTCCATTAACCTTTCCCCTAGTGAGGCTCACTTAAAATTTTTTTTTTTTATTGATTGATTTTTAGAGAGAGAGGAAAGGAGAGAGAGAGAGGAGAGAGAAACATTGATTGGTTGCCTCCCATTCTCTCTCCAGCCAGGGACTGGACCTGCAGCCTGGGTATGTTCCCTGAATGGGAACTGAACCTGCAGTCTTTTGGCGTACTGGCTGATGCTCCTACCAGCTGAGCCACCTGGCCTAGGCGAGGCTCGCTTTTTGCCCTGAAGTTATTTGGGACTGGAAAGCTGGAAATAATAAATATCTAGCTTCCTCTATCACCTCAGAAAAGCTGTTGCCTTATCCCCAATAGGACTTAATTTGCTATCTTGTATTCTGGAGGGAACGGAGGTTTTCCCTGCAACCCTAATGGGAGTCACTGGGAAGACAAGGACCCAACCCTAACTTGGAAGCTAAGTGCAATCACCTTGGGAAACCAGGACTTTGGAGGATGGTATCCAGGGATTTCTCAGACCTCGTCCTGACCAATGCAGAGAGGGGCTATGCCCCCCCGACCTCTGACTCCGGGACTATTCTCCATTCTCAAACCTCCTCTCCTCTAGGATCCTCAGCTGTGGCTGGGTTTCCCAAAACTGGGACCCCTGCCTCCCTGAATCTCCCTCATCCTGCGATTCCATTTCTCTTGGTGTACAATGGGCAAAGGGAGAAAATATCCTAGTCTTTCTTGTCTCTAATGTTCTTTGTCACACGCAGGGCAGCACCGATAGTGTTAGAACAGGAGGGAGATTAGTTAGTCCTGTCTTTGCCTTGCTGAAAGGGTGAGGGAAACGAACTCACCTAAGTCAGGGACACTGATCTGGGGTATTTTCTATCTTGGGGAAAATAGATAAAATCCCATTTGGACGTAGAAGCAAACCCTGGCACTCATCCTCCTGTGCTCTGCCATGGCCAGAGTTGCAGCCACCCTGGAGAAGAAAATTCTCTCATCTAAGGTGTTCAAAGTAACTCTTTTAGCTCGTCTTTTCTCAAGCAGACGTGGTAAGGAAACAAAG